ACCAGTTCCTTTTGCGCACCTCTCAATTCAAAGGAGAAATGAGATCTCGGCACTGACTGATGCAATTAAATGCCATTGTCCATCTGGGGAGAAGATTCTTTAAGGCACTGCTGTTCAAATGACTACCCTTCGACAACAACCGGATGGCATTCAATACAATCCGGCTAAGTTTAATATGTTCATGGCTGAATTAGGAAGACGGATAAGTAGATTTTTTTCTTCAAAATTCCTCTACACAATCTTGCTTTTGATCCAATATGTCTGAATAACAGCCCGTTGAGCTAACGATGTATCCGTAAATAGACCTTCTCAAGAGCTATGAAACAGAACAATTTAAAACCGGTATTTTTAATATAATACGCAGGAGCAGGAGCTTTCAAGACCGAATTAAGAAATCGAATAACTAGGACATTTTTTAACCGTTTTTTTTCAATTGAACATGCCTAGCTAAAGTAAGAGCTAGCAAAAATTTTCAAATATTTAATAATATATTCAAAAACTGATTTTTTTAATTACAAGAACCATTAACCAATATTATTGAATAACAGGCCAATGTTCACAAGTGAGGAGCCACTATAACTTGGTCTTCGTTCCAATTATATCCGTTCATTCCTGCAGCATGCGGGCATATTTTTCCCTTTTCCAAAAACAAAAATAAATATATATTACTAGCGGCCTGCGGCCGCTAAGCTGGCGGTATAATAGGTGGACATTTTGAATTGTCTATTATGAGTATAACGTCTCCTTCATATCCTGTGTTCATCGCATTACCCAATCGGAACTGAACCGCTTCATTAGATTTCTGCACAGACAGCTTACAATACAGAGAGAAAGTTTATTCCTAAACACCATCATCATGATATTCGAGCTCATTGCCACAATCGCTATTGTGAACACCTCGGTTTAGTAGGTTTTCATGGGACTCAATACAACGTTTCTGATTTTGTTGTACCAACACATACAATACTCTTGCATCACTAATTAGCTCATGGGCTATTAGCATTAGGTTATTGTACAGATACCACTGATTCTGAAACGGTAGGGGCCATTTCCAAGAACTTGTTCGACTTTAGCACAGAAGGAAGTTAGCGTATGTGCGAAACAATACTAACGAATAATTCCTGAAAATCCCTCGCCGCCACATTAGCACCAGTGAGCAACACTTTCAGAGCCTCAGGATGTACTGTGAGTTGCAGCAATATGGAACAAATGCTTCCTTCCTACAGGAAAATGTACAGTCTGACAGTGCTCGCTGCGGCAAACGACTGTATTTATTGAGATGATATGGAGAGCCATGACAAAATGTCCTGAGTTCCATGATGTAATGATAGCACACCTGACCGGCAAGCAGGAGTTCTGGGTTCAATTCCCAGCCGCCCCTGCTTTCCCGCTTTCGACACCTGAGTGCTAAATTGCTTGCATCAAGTTGTTCATCAGGCTGCACTGCTCTTCTATTCCTGAGCGCAGCATTCGCTGCCTCTTGGTGCTCAGCGGTCTGAGTGGCTTTACGCTCACTACGTGCAAATGGGTACTGTTCATCGCTCATTCTAGCCATTAGGGTTAGCACCTCCTAAAGCACCGATTTAGGCACTTCGCACCGCAACTGCAGTGGCAAAGCTTGTTTCCGCGCCAGCACCAATCGTTTTTTATCTACAGCGACTGCCTCATCGCCGTCCTGCGGGACCTCCTTCAACATTTGTTTCGCGTCCAACCTCACCTCGCAAAAGTCGCCACCATTTAGATGGGAGGAACGTATTGTTTGCGCGACGTATGAAACAAAGAACTAACGTTAGTATTTTGACTTCATTAATCATGAGAACTCAAATAAATCGGCCACGACATGAAACGCAAACAGAAAACTATTCCATGGAAGCGATGGCCCGAACCACCACGCCTGACCTAATGAAAAAAAAATACATACAGAAAAAATACATCAGCAAAGAATGTATTCAAGTGGAGAACTTCCAGTCGATCAGTGAAAACGTGACACGCATTCAGTTATTTCCACCCTTTGATTGACACAGCTGAGTATGAAGTCTATGGAAATAATACGATGAGTCTCAGCATTTGGCTCAGACTGACATAGCCCTATGGACCTGGCGCTTAGAGCGTCGGATAGCGAAGCCTTTGGCCTAGAATAGCATAGCCTCACGGACTTAGCGCTTTGAGCGATGGATAGCCTAGCCTATGGCTTGAAGTGACATAGTCTCGTAGGCCTTAATTTCTTCAGTCTTCATTTAACTGATATTTAATGACCCCTTTCAGGAATGAAAGTGCAGCAAGGTTGGACTGGATAGACTATAGTTTCTAAAATGTTGGATGACCATGAAAGGAGAGATCATGCTAGGCATATAAATGTTTTTCTTTAATTGTAACTGCTTTTAACCACTGATGCGTTGAAAAACAAATGAAGTGCCTCTATATTTCATTTATTGTATTCCAGATTGTTTTTATCGAGATAAGTAGAAATCAAGAGGTAGGACGGTGTGAAGAGGCTATCGATACATTTATATAAGCTATTCTCCTTCAGGGAGGGCCTCATCATGTTTGCTTATGTGAGATCTTAAGGTCTTATAATGTGAGCTGTTCTCAATTTAGATGCTAGTGTAATATAGGTCGACAGGTATACGTTATTTTCGAGTTCCTCCTATTATCAAGTAAAACATAGGGAAACATGCGTAAATGTAGACAAGCAAGTGGCTTAAAAATGGTGAATTCTGCACATTGTCTTTGAATTTATTGCGGAAAACAAGCTGACTACTTTGTTATGTACTATTGAACTACTGGGGATTGAAAACATCGGGAACTTTTTCAATCGGTGGCAGTCTAGAAAGCCATTGACTGAAAAAGCAATTCGCGCATACCATGGAGAAAGAAGGATCACCTGAGGCAGACAGCATTAAGGATGGGGATTGGAAATAAGAGTTGTTCGCAAATCGAAAATCCAAGATGCAGCACATCGAATGATCATCACTGACTCGTATATCAACGTCATATCGTCTCATTAACCGAACATGGAAACGTATTATACATTATGCATGAAATACCCAGGCATGGACGTGAATAGGTGCGGTCATTAGTCGATTAGAACTTTAGCAAAATATATCCAGCGATTGACAGGGACGGGATTAGAATACCGCGAAAATAATGAATAAAATAAAATTTCATTTACCACAATTAAGTGGTGCAAGAACTGAAAGGGAGTGTACCTCGCTCTCCATTTCATATGCTATGCCGTTTGAGTGCCATCTCTCAAACCTATGTACTTGTATTTCATTGGTTGGGCATCTCCATTGAACGCCGATCTGTGCCAGGATGTTCTTCTGGGTTGGGGAGGGGGAGAAAAAGAGTGCTTGAAATGTACACATTTTAAATATTAAATTGTGTTTTCCTCGCATTTTGAAAGAGATACTGCTACAAGTTCTCTTGATTTAGTTTTTTTTAAATAAATACAATGAAAGATCACATTACTTTCCTCCAGGCGCTCAAGGAAAGAAATATAGGAAGGCGGATATTGATGTTAAGAAATGGCAGAAGGAAAGGTATCTGTGTTAGGAGCAACTGATTTTTAACTATTTCTTCTTGGAAACTGAAATTCTGCATTGGCAGTTTCTCATATCATTGTAATATTTTGAGGGAAAATTAATGAAACATTGAAAATGATCATGCCATAACATTCTTATATTCGTGAAATTGTGTTATTCAGTGATTTTCATTATCTTGATGTGCATCCTGCTACAAAGACGTACATTTCTTCCCACTAATATTGTGTGGTACAAGAATAAATGTAGATGTGACGACGGCAAGTGATCCTAGTATCACTAACGCCGACATAAATGAAAGTTTTCACTTTCGGCAATCGGTACTGAGGTTCAACAAAATAACGAAACAATTTGTTTTTTAGGCAATGCCAGATGTTTCAGAGAAGGCACTGCAGACATTCCGATGCATACATATCATAGTTTGTTTATTGAAAGCATTGGATTTCTTTTTTTAGATTGAATGTCAGAGACTTGTTTGCATATTGTCAGCAAAAAACCCAATCTTGGTGATTCTTCGGTCTGCACTCGGGAGTACAGTTGAATTTCAGCACTAAACTCGCTGCAGGGTTAAATCTTCGTGCCCAGCCGACGAAATACCCACCTTCACGGCGTTTTGGGAACGGTCGATATTCCGGACCTTGAAACTCAGGCTTTGTGCAGAAGTAGCTGTCATGCACCAGCTGGTGGAGGAAATGGGCATCCAGTGAACACTGCATACTCTTTTAAATGAAATAATAATGTACTTACTCATTCAGATTATTTACTTCTTCATCTTTTATTTGTATGAAATGAGTCAGAAAAAAATACTAGGAAATGATGAGGTTCAAGACCGTCGTAATTGTTAAAAAAAAAATAATTCTCCGAACAAAAATAGGTGATAGCACCAAATACATTAGTAACTATCGGAGACGCAACAATTGAAAGGAAGACGCTGAAATAGGATGTGAATATGATCCTATGTTATAAAAGACTGCGTCATGGAGATTGATCAGGAACACCTCCTTAGCACTCCAAATGAACGAGCAATGAAAGCGCAATACCTAGGTATATGCAAGACATGTCAGTGATAAACAAGAAATACTGAGCCGAAACCTTATAGATTCACGCAGGATACATGTACAATGCGGTATTATGCGAAAAGACCGGTCTCCCTCTCTCTCCCCCTCTTGGAAAGAAAGAAGGGTCCGGACTTTCTCCTTGCAATGTTGCAGAAATTTCAAGGAAGTGTTTACAAGGAGACCCTTTCAGCCGCATTCAGAATATAAATATGGGAAGTTTGGGCTTTTTTTAGTGCATCCTTTGGAATTCCGAAGTCAGTATGTCTTGCATTTGATACTGACCTCAACACATACAAAAGAGCCCTCATTGATTCATTGTACATGCATTATGATTTCCTGAGATGTCTGGCCCAACTAAGTACTGTACTTCCTAATATATATTACATATAATAAATACTTATCACACCATGAGGTGCGTCGTGGCCGGCCAGAGGATAAGCCGAAGAATCTCTTGATCAAATCCGTAGGCGTGTTTCAAATCAGTCTTCAGCACCATTTGCACCGTGAGGTTTGCCATCAGGGAACGGTTCATGAACGTCTTTGCACCCCACATGCCTGAAAAATTTTTCATTCAATTCGAATTACAGGATTCCCAGTTTAAGTGGTCCGTTGTGTTTGCGCTTCAGACTTCGATTTGCATGAAGCAATTCAAGTATAGTGGCCACCAAAAGTTATGGAAAATATTAAAATTTCAACAATCTGAAAGCAGCAGTTCGTGAGATATGAGACCTTAAATGCAATCCTTTAAAGGAGAAATGACAATTGGAGTAAAAGAGCTACATTTAGTCCTAGTTGAACAAGGTATAGCTTTTTTCTCCTCAAATCAAGGCTGTAATTATGCAAAATCAGTTTATTAAGTGCAATTCCAGGTATGTGCAGCATTTCACTAGTTGTAAGTTTTCCAAAAATGTAGCAATGAAAAAATGTACACGCACAATTGTTTCAACCATGAATATCGCCTGTCCTTTTGTGACTCATATTTCGGGATGCACATCTCGAGAACCGTTCTATCCATAACGCTAAAGTGTTTGTTTTCCATTACAAGAATCGGCCAGAGCTTATTACATTTTTCATGCTAATGTGAATATGAAGCGCAACCATTAATAGGTATACTCGACCATTAGAGATTGAAAGCCTCTAGCATACGAATGGAGGAGCTGGAACTCCATGTTACCCGCAAGAATGTGCCATGGATGATGAGGATGATCCCGCATCACGTGAATCATTGAGTTTGACTTTAACCATTCATCAACAGCTTCGCGTTCACGGCTGGTCACCACCGAATCCGAGTCTCTGTGTGAGAGCGTAATAAATAAGAGCGCATCATTTGAAATTAGTTCTAGCAATATCCTATTATCGATCGGCGACGTTTTTCCAAGGAAGTCATTGCAGTATAGAAGAACTCTTCACAATTTTGAAAAAAGCATAGCTTATCAGCAGTTTTACCCCAAATCGAGGTGGAGGCCTCTTTATTCGGGTGGATTGAATGAGAGCATATTTTAAATGTATTTCAATGCATTCGACCAACAAGTACGGTAATAATAAATAGCAATAAGTAATTTTTCGACTGCTCTGGAATGTTCTGAAGCTTCTTCCGAATCTCTTACACATGGAAAAAACCAATACTCCCAGATCCAAAGACTGCCCATGTACCCTATCAGTCTTTGTTAAATGCGTATGATGTCCAATCCTGACCTAGATACAAAGATGTCGACCAGCGGATCCATTCCTACTAGGAACCTCCAGGTCGACCCTTCTTCTTGGATCCTCGTTATGTTCCCCAGCTGTGGCAGTCTGTCAGCAAGGCAGAAGTCTACGTGGGAGTGGTTGCACTGGATTCCACACATCCAGTCCCTCTGGCTGGGGATCTCTGGTTTGTAGTTCGTGTAGATTCGCATCACCCAGCCTGAAAATTAACATTAAAGGATGAACGAGTAAGATGAACGTGAAGATTAACGGTTTTCTGACTAATAATGATTTTCATTATGAAGCAATGTTATATTGCATTAATATATGAGTTGGCTATCATTATAATATCTTGTCTTCTTTCATCATTGTGATAGTGACTCTTTAATGAATTATTGTAAACAGAATAATTGATATCATGCGAACCATAACCAGGACAGTAAACAGTATAGGAGTAAAATGTGATAGAGATACCATGAACTTCTTCTGACCTGAATATTTAGTCTTGATATCCTGGATGATTTCATGGATATATTCTTCATATATGGGCGATGCCCTTCCGCCCTTCGATTGTGGTCCATAAAGACTGTACGCTGCGACAAGTTGACCATGACCACGTAAAGTTGCCCTGGCACTACAGGTCGACGACACTGAGTCATCGCGCGTTAAAAAGTAGCTCACTGGGTCACAAGGGCAATGGAGTTCCAAAACCCTGAGAGAAAGTAAGCTATTGGTCGCAGGTTTATAACCCACGGACAGAGAAACCCAATTGGGGGATGACCAGAAGAGAAGTAGGAGGAGGAAACTAAGCAAGACGAAGACGAAAAATCCTATTCTGTGGTTCCTAAATGACATTTTTCACTGGTCCAAACGATATTGCAATGTACAGTAATTTTACTTATTCAAGTACTTTCCAAGGCTTTATCGTCATATACCCAAGTGAGAAGTATAACAGTCACTACAGAATCTTGATTTGGTCTCGTGACAAATTAGGGGAAGTGGCAGCTAGATGCCCTCGGAATCACCTACAGGAACAAGAATATATGATAAGAATTCCAGAATGTCATGTGTAGTTTTCCTCGCTATTTGCTTGAACAATTAAAAATTAAAGAACGTAGTGACCTTGAACAGTTTTCATTTAATTATTTGAGGAATAGCGCTATAAGTGTTAAACCAACTTTTAGATGGGGTTATTGCATGGTGGTTCAGAATTTGTACCGTTATATTTATAAACAATTTTTCTTTTGAAATACCCGTGCTTGAAAGAAGGAAGAGGAAAGCATAGCAGTAGGTGTTCCTGAGGGTTACGACTACAACCGAATTTTGTTACTATTCAGTGTTGATACTCTATTGAAAATTCCAAGCATGAGGTTTAAGAAGTGAGAGTTCTCCAAGCGAATTCCCACTTCACGATTACTCGGCTATTGCTTCCTCATCACTCGCAATACTTTCGTGCTCTTGTAGCCAAATCCGCTCTCATAAAATAACTAAAACTCTTGTTAGCCATTCTTTGTGGCTGCACTACTCTGTCATGGCAGCGAAGAGTCAGCATTTGATATGTGTAACTGGATGTTTTCGGTTAGCAGTTGAACATGTTTCTCACAGTTTCTCAGTTTGGGAAAGGGTATTTTTGCCCATGTTGATTCCCAAGTCGAAGATGGTTTCGACCTACGGAATTGCATTTAGGTTAGCCTAACGTTGAGTCCTAGCATCTTACCCAACTAAGCCGGCAATTAAAAATAATTTATTTTGATTTGAATTGATTTCGTCATGATTTTCTCACTGGTGTTCTTCAACCGGACGAAGATCTTCACCCGGAATAATAAAATGTTGCAGACCCCTGCTCCCCCTTCTTTCAGAATGGAATTGCGAATATGGACCGTCTCCGCGTACATCGCACACATTTCGATATTTTCAGCATGTCTTACTGAAAAATCGAATTTCATGTTCCCAGCAAGTAATGCTCAATGCACACGCATGTCAAGAGAAGAGATAGGTTGAAAGAGTGAAGGAGGCATCATTGAAGGGATAAGAATATGAGAATCCAAGGAGTCGTGATGGAAATGATGGTTGATGCTTCATTCTCATCCCTGGAGTTACACATTTTTGGCACAAACCAAGAATCCTAACGTGAAAAAAGACATTGAAATATCTAATAATTTTTTTTTTACTTGCGTAGAGGCGTCAAATCCGTGATACCTTGGATGTTTTGTGCGAGAGTATTTCTTTATCGTTTAAATTAACCCATCGGTTAAGCCGACAAAACCCACCTGTGTCACCATAAGCTTTAGGTATTCCGTACCAAAAACAAAATGAAGAAGGTTGCAAGTGAAATCTAACAAACGTCTCATCCAGCTTTTCTTACCTAGATATTTATCCTTCACATTTTGGTAGAGCTAGGTATGATATTCTCCGCAAATGGACGCCGCCCTTCTGCAAGTCGACAAAGAAAGACTGAACGACACAACACGCTGACCTCGACAACGCCAAGTCGCACTACAGATGGACGACGCTTGGTCATGGTGCACCAAAATGTACTTTTCTCCGTCGCAGTCAAACCGAGTTCCTTCACGCTAAGGCATTGGTCATCAATCTGCGGTCCGCGGACCACCTATCACTCGGTTCTTCTATGGAAGTAAAAGGGAGTTTGAGAACCACTACCCTAAGGGACACTAGGCCTTCGGTCAGCGTCATATTTGGCGAACGGGGGAGCCGGGGAACGAGGAAGCTCTTTTGGCCACATCGAGACGAGTGAGAACAGAAGACAACTTAGCAACAGGAGAAAGCCGATGATGCTAGCACTTTTTTCAACGACATGGTCTCTTCAAAATGGATTGATCTCAAAAACTTGAAATACGAAACCTAAAATTCACAATTATATGCCTTTACAAGGGCAGTGAATAAATTATAGTCAAGACAAGAACAATTATGTCACAAGACAATTATGTCCAGGCAAGAAACGCATGACGTTCAGACTACAAAAGGAAACGATAATAGGAAATTGTTAATTCTTTTGAAAATCCATTCTCGGCAATTATTAGGTCCTTTTCATTGGTTTAAATGTCATTTGTATTCTCCTGTAAAGTTACTAACATTTGTGTGACGTTTTTGGGCAAACAAGTAGAGGTCCTTAGGGTGGGTGTGTAGGGAACTGATTTCGTGGCCTAGATCTAACCCATGGATTGATACTCAGTCTGGCACGATTCTCCTACTTTTTCCCTTCAAGGGAAGCGGGAATGAAAACAAATAGCTGTTGGATGGCGTACTGCAGATAAAGTTGAACCTTGAAGGCACGTACCCTGAGGGGCTGACTTAGTAGTTTTATACATACACTGTATGTAACACTCAAAACAGACATTAAGGCCTACACCAATCTTGATCCATTGTGAACCAGGAGCTTTTCTGCCTATGAGAGCGAGAATCATGTCTGCCTTGCCCTAAGGCACAAGGCCTTTTGGCCTTTGATTTTTAAGACCATAGGTTTGATGGAAGAACATGGGTGAAAGCGTACCGTGCTGGTGTAAATTTAGTTATTTATGTATTTATAACGAAGAAACGGGAAGTAAGATTTACCATAGATACTGCGATTTTGTGTGCCTGTGCCCAATGCTACTTTATACAGTATTTCCCGAGATTAATACCCGAAGATGAGTGTGACGACCAAAGGCAGGAGTTGAATTCAATATTGGAATGCAAAACGAAGCACTGTAAATGTTTACGTGCTGATCCTCATGCAGGAAGTCTTATGACGTCAATGTGAATTCATTCTGATAAAACGGAGTGCCAAAGTCGCGCTGACCTATTAACCAGGGAATGTGACATCACCATCAAGGGTGAGCTTCGAAAAATGATTCTCAAAAAGTATTAGCAATTTTCTTTGATATTGGAGCGCCGAAGGCGCATCCATACCTCAGCTAATGTGAAGTAGCTAGCAAGTACAACTAGCATATTAATGTATAACTAGCATATTAATGCAGACGATCGGGAGTGATTGATTGACTGGCGCTAATTCTAAGAAAGTGGAAAGGGGCGTTGAATAGAAAACCGATTCACCCACGTCACCGTTTCACAAAGTACTCAGTCCACAGAATTGCAAGGTTTAGCGGAGAAGTCACGTTTTGCATATAATCGCTTCCCCGATAGAAACTGTTTACGCTAGCTGACCTGAAGGTCCTGATCCAGATCTGGCAGCTTCGAGGCTACGCACTTGCTTGAGAGCAGCTGCGCCGGTGCTTAAATGTAACATGCTTCGTTCGTGGAATCGTTTACTGGAAACTCCGCGGTTTCCCTTCGTCCTTGTCCACGTATGACTTGCAAACAAGAGAGGAAATTGAATATCGGCGTCGTATTAACGGAATTAAAATAAATGGGGAGCCTAGCGTGGAGCCAAGCCTGCTGATTTCTTTACGGAAATGAGTAGGAACGTTTTATGCCGTTACATTTCTGGAATGAGTCTTTGTATTCCCTATGTTGTGAAATGTTCTCAACTTTTGCTGTTATTAGTTGGTGGAAGTCGCTATCTATATAATAACAAGCTGGGTTGCTCGGCGTTGCCCGGGATATTTTTTAGGAGTAATATAGCTGTTGTTCTTTTATGTGTTTTTTTGTTAGTGCTTATTTGTCTAAATCCGGCCAGACCGACGGGGACGGGAGCACTGCTCTGGCCATTTTATTTTATTTGTATTTTTTTATTTTTTAAAAGTTGTTCTAAATTAATTAACTCAAAGGGGCTCTTCTTTCACAAAAATCTAACTTAAATTAGTTTCTCAATGATATTCTTATTTCACAGGAAAAACTAAACTCCATTTTCTCACACATATTCATACTGCACTGAAAAAAATATATAAATTCTAAATTCTAAAATTCTAAATTCTAAAGTGTCTCAATCATTCACCGCAATGCTTGAGAAATCTTGCTGGCCTGGAACCCCCTTTTTGGGACCCCGAGACCCCCCCCCCCCCGGAGCCGCCCCCCGTACCCAGACCCCCCTATGACCTGCTACTGGAGAGACCCCACCCTCCTGCGAAGGTTTCAAGTCGATATCTCCAAGGGTGTCCGAATGCATAGCGTCAGATGGACAGAGACAGAGATCCTTGCTTATAGATATAGATAGCCGACGTACTCCTGTCTGTCCGCCGGAGGCCTGCACGGGTCAACTCTATCGAATCCGACCGGATCGGCCCGATTCAAGTCGTTGTCCTACCCGACTACTCGACCCGAAATTCGATCACCAAACAGAGATTTTAGTGGATCCTACACAAGGGTCGGGTCGGGCCATTCGGGCCGGCCTGCAACCCGCTTAAGCCTCTAAACTTCCGAACTCCGGGTCTTTGGGTTCGTTTTTTTTCTGAGTTGCGCTACCGGCTCTGCTGAGTGTTTCACCCGACTTCCCATGGCGTCACATCGGTGCTGGCCTGTTCGGTGCTCTCATTGTTTCATTTCGTCTTGTTTCATTATCTCGTTTCATTGGTAGTTCCTTGCCCATTTAATGACGTGATCCCATCGAGCGCCGACTGAACGAGGCGTCATTATTGCCAGTGGCTGTAAACGACTCGAGAAAAAGACTCCTCCGAGTGGATTCTAGCGTATTCGCCTGCACCCAACTCGAAACTAGATTGTCAACCGATCCGCCGGTCGGATCTGCCTAATAAAGCTCATTCCCATTCCCTACGGAGCTCCAAATCATCCCCCGAAAACATGGTTGCTTCGAAGCAGTTGCAACTCTGAATATTTCCTCAGGAATACCAGCATACATTCGGAAGTCATGAATTACTTCCTCACTGAATTTGCAAGCCATAAGGGACAAGGAACATAACAAGGTGTTTACGTTTGTTCAGTTTGTTCAGTGTTGTCTCGGTTCGGTTTTCGAAACATCATTTCGATATGTTCAACACTTCCTCCTGAAAAATCGAATTTCATGTTCATGCAAGCAATGCTCGATGCACACACATGACAAGAGAAAAGATACGTTGAAAGAGAGAAGGAGGCGTCTTCGAAGGGATCTGAATATGAGAATCCAAGGAGACGTGATGGAAATAGTGGATGTTGGTTGGAACTTGGAAGAAAAATACATGAAAAAAATTATGTGCAATAGTATTTCTTTACTGCTTAAATTAACCGATCGTTTATTGTTCTGCTGTCACAGTTCACCTTTCAACCTCATCTGCCGTCGGAACGGGTCGGTGTAGGGAATGATGTCGACCCCAGGGCCTCATATTCCTGTCAAACAGATGGTCATTCTCATCGTCGACCTCACCCTCAATGCTCATCTATAATTCAACCCCCATTTGCGAGACGCTTTGTTTGTCAGACACCTCCTTTGATAAATCAGGTACCGCTTGAAGTATATTGTGAATGGAATATACTGGTATAGTTGTTCATTGATTCCATCGTCGCTGCCTTATTTGATATCACGTTTCTGTGTATTGCAATTGGTTCTGCGTTTTAAGTAAATTAGAAATTGTCCACAAATACATGATTTATGCCATCAGTCCAATGGAGGTGGTTCATGAATCAAATCATATATTTACGTTCACACAGATCAAGGTTGCTTCATGGAATTACACTAGATTTTGCGAATTACCATCATACTCATTTGTATATTTTCAACAATGTACCCAATCCTGGTGATTCTTCGGCCTGCATTCAGGAGGACAGTTGACTCCCAACACATAATTTAGTTGAGAGTCGAACCTTTTCCCCCAGCTGACGAAATACCCTCCGTTACGACATTTAGGGAACGGCCGATATTCTGGACCTTGAAACTCTGGTTTCGTGCAGAAGTAGCTGTCATGCACCAACTGGGAGAAGAAAGAAACATACGGATGTGATAGGAAACATTTCCAAAATAGCAAAGGCAAATTACTCTGCGCTATAAGGTACCAGTTTAAATAATAAGGCTTAC